CTGACCATAAACTTTTTGACTCGACTCTAGTATGTTTATATTGTATTTTTTACACTGAATAAACACATTTTTCGATCTTTCTTATCTATACTAATATTATAAAGAGGTAAATTTTGTAAGTTTGTATGTAGGGGGTAATCTTTGGAACCACTTAAATTCTTTCACTGAACATATAGCTATGATGTGCCTGAGTGCTACAGGCTATAAAACATCACGCTACGATAAAATAGAGCTAAGAAAGCAGGTGAAACCGCCCGAGAGTAGCTAAAAAATGTTTCTTTTTTTGTTGATATAAAAATGTTTTTTACCAGTGGTAGCTGAAACGGATTTAAAATAAAAAAAATAGATATAGGTAAGTAAATTAAATCATTAGAAATTCATACAAATTGCATAGATTTATAAAACCTTTTTATAAAGAACTTATGTGTATACAGAATTTCAGCTCGATCCGTTGATGATACAAGCGGATACAAAAAACAAAATACAACACACTCGCACGCACACACACGCACACGCACACACACACACACGCACACACACACATACGGCATATTTGTCTTAATTTATTTTACACTGAAACTTTTGCCCGCTAAAGGACGCCACATCAAATTTTGTGAGACCGCATATAGCCTATAACCAGCGGACAATGAAGACGTTTCTAATGATATGTTATTTGTCAAATTCTGATAAGCAGTTTAGAAGTTACGAGGGAACAGATGAACATACATACACCTTTTTCTTGTTCAAGGGAAAATCGTCTCCCGGCCAATGTAAGGCGAGAGAAAGGGTCAGACTCTCACTGACTAAAATACCCCCCGTTCCTTCTTCTGCTCTACTATTATTATATTGTATTTTTTACACTGAATAAACCCATTTTACTATCCATCTTACTTTCTTTCTTATTATAATTAGAAAATGTAGCGCGCGCCATTCAAACGTCCCGCAATCCCGCCGCGCGTCAGTTTTCAAGGTCTCACGGAGCGTTTAAATGCGCCAATCACAGCGCCTGCCGGTGACGCGAGCGCCTACGCGCCCCCTACCGCCGGCGTCAGTACATCAGTACAGTTTGTCCACCATTATTATATTATTGACGCTAGTCCGTAACAGTATTGTTCTTAATAAATTTTAGTGAGTGTAACCCGAGTACTTCATTGAACAACTCGCAACAAAAAAAGAGTGAAACCCACAAAAAAAAATTTTGTTAATTTAAAAATGTTACTTACCAGTGACACCAGCTAGAATTGTTTTAAAATAAAAAAATAGATATTAGTAAATTTAATATAACTAATTAGAAAATCATACAAATTAGGTACATAGAATTAAAAAACTTTTTAAAATCAACTCTTTCGCAAAGTCTACGAAATAAACACTTTAGGGCTGATTTTTTACTTTTAGTCCTCCAAAATTTCTTTAATTCCGTCATACTCGAAGGTACTACGCTCGAATCATGGCAAAGGAGTGTGGTCGTTCTGTTCTTCAAAAAGGGAGATAGCACTTTGTTGGAAAACTACAGACCTATCTCACTTCTGAGTCATGTGTACGAGCTGTTCTTGAGAGTTCATCACGAACCGTTTCGAATGTAGGCTCGATGACTTCCAGCCTCCCAAACAAGCCGGGTTCTGGATAGGCTTCTGCTTTGGTGTTTGTATAGAAACGCCACCATGCTCGTCCGACTCCAGGAGGACAGCACAAAACCAATCCAATTGCAGAGAGGCGTGAGGCAGGGAGACGTAATTTCTCCGAAACTGTTCACGAACGCATTGAAGGACGTTTTCAACGTTTTTGCGGTTCGCCGATAATATAGTCGTTTTGGCAGAGTCGTTGGAGGACGTGAACACCATGCTTAGCGACCTCGATGTCGTTTCCCAACAGTTGGGTCTAAACATGAACATGGACAAGACGAAAATCATGTCAAATGTCCATGTTGCACCTGTACCGGTCATCGTCGGGAAGGACATCCTTGAAGTTGTTGACTATTATATACCTGGGTCAAATCATTCAGCTAGGTAGGTCCAATTTCGAGAAAGAGGTCCAACTCGGATTGGCGGCGTTTGGGAAGTTATACGATGTCTTCTCTATGCTCGGGGTCTCTTTGCGCGACAAATTCCGAAACGTGGAAATTCGCCAAAGAATCAATGTCATCGACATACCTCGTAAAATCTGCAGGCTAAAGTGGCAATGGGCTGGCCACGTCGCTCGAAGGACGGACGGCTGATGGGCACAACTGTTAGGTCATCGTACGACCACTTTGATCGTGCGATGAAAAACGCATTGCGCCATCGTACGACCGCTCCCAATTAGTACGCCGCCTACTCATATTCTTATAACCGTCATTGTAACAGTCTGATTAATACATCAACTTATTACACAGCCACAAATCCATTATTTCTCTCCACTTAGCTATAGAACCCAACGATGTAGTTGGGGTAGGTTCATCTAGGGCCTTTATAAAGACTTCTCCATAGGACACGCCCATTTTCATAAACTATTGAATAATATTATAGCGATCTGCTATATTTTAATTTTTTTCCTTACCGTCCTTTTCTGTGGAGAGTGAATTTAATGAATTAGTAATTATTTTAAGCAATTAGGTACTTTTCTAGGTCAAATTTAAATTAATTTGACGTATCAAACACTTAACCAGATTCAAAATTTGTAATATGCTGATCCCCAAAAGGCCAGCAACGCACTCGTAACTCCTTTGGTGTTGCGGGTGTCCATGGGCGGCGTCGATTGCTTACCATCAGGTAATCCATTTGCTCGTAAGAGTAACAATAATTTATAACACTTTACAAAAACATTTTTTTTTACTTGAAAACACATCTTCTAAATAGATTCTCATTGGGTGGGGCGAGAGAGAGTGTCAGACTCTTTCTGACCATAAACTTTTTGACTCGACTCTAGTATGTTTAAATTGTATTTTTTACACTGAATAAACACATTTTTCGATCTTTCTTATCTATACTAATATTATAAAGAGGTAAATTTTGTAAGTTTGTATGTAGGGGGTAATCTTTGGAACCACTTAAATTTTTTCATTGCACATATAGCTATGATGTGCCTGAGTGCTACAGGCTATAAAACATCACGCTACGATAAAATAGAGCTAAGAAAGCAGGTGAAACCGCGCGAGAGTAGCTAAAAAATGTTTCTTTTTTTGTTGATATAAAAATGTTTTTTACCAGTGGTAGCTGAAACGGATTTAAAATAAAAAAAAATAGATATAGGTAAGTAAATTAAATCATTAGAAATTCATACAAATTGCATAGATTTATAAAACCTTTTTATAAAGAACTTATGTGTATACAGAATTTCAGCTCGATCCGTTGATGATACAAGCGGATACAAAAAACAAAATACAACACACTCGCACGCACACACACGCAGACGCACACACACACACACGCACACACACACATACGGCATATTTGTCTTAATTTATTTTACACTGAAACTTTTGCCCGCTAAAGGACGCCACATCAAATTTTGTGAGACCGCATATAGCCTATAACCAGCGGACAATGAAGACGTTTCTAATGATATGTTATTTGTCAAATTCTGATAAGCAGTTTAGAAGTTACGAGGGAACAGATGAACATACATACACCTTTTTCTTGTTCAAGGGAAAATCGTCTCCCGGCCAATGTAAGGCGAGAGAAAGGGTCAGACTCTCACTGACTAAAATACCCCCCGTTCCTTCTCCTGCTCTAGTATTATTATATTGTATTTTTTACACTGAATAAACCCATTTTACTATCCATCTTACTTTCTTTCTTATTATAATTAGAAAATGTAGCGCGCGCCATTCAAACGTCCCGCACTCCCGCCGCGCGTCAGTTTTTAAGGTCTCACGGAGCGTTTAAATGCGCCAATCACAGCGCCTGCCGGCGACGCGAGCGCCTACGCGCCCCCTACCGCCGGCGACAGTACATCAGTACAGTTTGTCCACCATTATTAAAATATTGACGCTAGTCCGTAACACGTATACAGTATTGTTCTTAATAAACTTCTAGCGAGTGTAACCCGAGTACTTAATTGAACAACTCGCAACAAAATAAGAGTGAAACCCACAAAAAAAAAATTTTTGTTAATTTAAAAATGTAACTTACCACTGACACCAGCTATAATTGTTTTAAAATAAAAATAAAATGGATATTAGTAAATTTAATATAACTTATTAGAAAATCATACAAATTAGGTAGGTACATAGAATTAAAAAAAAAAAACTTTTTAAAATCAACTCTTTCGCAAAGTCTACGAAATAAACACTTTAGGGCTGATTTTTGAATAGTCAAATAAATTATATCTGTGGAATAAAATTGTTGCTGTCACTGTTTTATACAAACATTCTGACGCGATAGCATCATAATTATTCCCCAGGTAACTTTTGTCTAACCATTCGACCAACCACCAAAAATCAGCCCTTAGAGATATTTTTATAGATTTAGAGTGACGTTATATAGCTGAGCATTTATTGTCATGTCAAAGTAAACGTGTATAAAGTGTGGGAGAGCCATGCTTCGGCACGAATGGGTCGGCTCGACCGGAGTGATACCACGGCCTCACAGAAGACCAGCGTGAAACAGCCACAGCGTTGTGTTTCGCAGTGTGAGTGAGGTTACCGGAGGCCCAATCTTCCCCTAAAATCCCTTAATCTCCAAATCCCTAGTCCCCAAAGGATCGGCAACGCTCTCGTTACTCCTCTGTTGTTGCGGGTGTCCATGGGTGGCGTTGATTGCTTACCATCAGGTTATCCGTCTGATCGTTTCCCAACCTATCCGCTGGTTTTCTGTGAGGCGGTAGTATCATTCCGGTCGAGCCGACCCATTCGTGTTGAAGCATGGCTCTCCCACACTTCTTTTGTGTGTCAACTTATTTCATTTAGTTATCCATTACATTGTCACTCACAGCAAGTTTCAGTGAGCGCATCGTAGGTGAAAATAAAAAAGATGCGGTCCCAAAAAAAAATTCGTAATCAGCAGCAGATTTTTTTTTATAGCCTATCGTGTGTCCCTCTGCTGGGCAAAGGCCTCCCCTTTTTCCTCAGCAGCAGATATAAGATAAAAATCATCCCGTCCCTTGTCCTGCTCCATATGACCCTCGTCTCGTAAGGTAAGTTATCAAATAACTTACCTATCTCCATCATCGATACTTTGTGACATTAAAAACGATACTTACCGACTCCTAAAATTGTAAAACATTAATTTTAAAATACGTACTTTCATCCGGAGGCCCAATCCTTCCCCTTCCCGGACCCTTCCCCAATCCCTAAATCTCCAAATCCCTTATCCCTAAAAGGTCGGCAACGCACTCGTAACTCCTTTGTTGCGGGTGTCCATGGGCGGCGCTGATTGCTTACCATCAGGTAATCCGTCTCCTCGTTTGCCGACTTATCACATTAAACATATTATAAACGCGACAGTGTGTAAGTACGGATGGATGTTTGTTACTCTTTCACGTAAACTACTCAACGGATCTGAATGTAATTTGGCACAGAGATAGATTATAGTTTGGAATAACACACGGGGTTTCACATTTTAACACATTTTCCCTATAATGGGGGCGCTTCTGTAAGATTTTAGTGTAAGTTGGACATGAGATTCTGTAGACTGTAGTGATCTTTAAAGTTTTCAGCTTATCTATATATATCTATATATTTAGGGCCATCCGGCACTCACTCCGCAGCCGCACCGACTCGCCGTCTGCGGCAGTCCAGGATAAGGTGAGGGAGAGTTTCCTGACTAAAAATACCCCCGTTCCTTCTCCTTCTTTAGACCGTGGCCGCGGTGCCTCATTGCGCTTACCCCGCAACCCCGGCTGAACATCAGCCCTATAGGGCTCCGTCTGTGGTGGTCTATTGGCTCTTTGAGGCGTGCGCGGAACGCTACGCGCCGTACGCTCGGGTCTGGTTCTGGTCGAGTGGCAAGCTACCCTTACTCGCCGTCCGCAGACCCGCGCTTATGGTGGCCGGAGATCTTCTTTATATGGTCTTGTATGGGCATGCACTCACTACATCAACTCCGTATCGTCAACAGATCATTTCGGTTTTAAGCCCTTCAAGATTGAGTGTTTTTTCTTTGGACAAACCTACCACAGCCTCCATAACTCAAGGATGCAATCAATCAATGCAAAAAAACTAACAATCAATTATTTTCTCTCTTTATAACATTTGTAAAAGAAACATATTAATAGTTAAACTTACGTTTCTTTCCATCTAGACCTATAATGATAATATTAATATATTAGTAATGTTATAAAATAGTACCTATATTATGGTACAAATTTGAAATGGTATGCGGTATGTTCCCAACAGCAGATGTAACTGCAGCCGTCGATGCGCGTCGGCGGCCACCGTCGACGTGTTGACGGCTTCCGTTGAAGCGTCGACGGCAGCCGTTTACTATTGACTGCACAGTTGGCGCGGTCGCTGGGCAACTGGGTGTTGCGCGTGAAAGAGAAAGAGAGAGAAAAAGAGAAAGAGAAAGAGAAAGAGAAAGAGAAAGAGAAAGAGAAAGAGAAAGAGAAAGAGAAAGAGAAAGAGAAAGAGAAAGAGAAAGAGAAAGAGAAAGAGAAAGAGAAAGAGGAAAGAGAAAGAGAAAGAGAAAGAGAAAGAGAAAGAGAAAGAGAAAGAGAAAGAGAAAGAGAAAGAGAAAGAGAAAGAGAAAGAGAAAGAGAAAGAGAAAGAGAAAGAGAAAGAGAAAGAGAAAGAGAAAGAGAAAGAGAAAGAATAATTTATTAAGTAAACACATTCTATGTCTCAGCCCTCGGTCTCAGCCGAGATTCCGTTTTGTTTTCGACCTCAGCTCGTCCAATTATCCGCGTCATACTAAACTATTTGAAAACCAATTATGATTTTTTAATTGACATAAACTCTTACCAGGTTTGACAGTAGCTGTAAAAAAAATGTACGTATTATTTAAGAAGTAATAACATTTAAGTATCGGAGAGCCAAGCTTCGGCACGAATGGGTCGGCTCGACCGGAGTGATACCACGGCCTCACAGAAAACCGGCGTGAAACAACCACAGCGTTATGTTTTACCTTGTGAGTAAGGTTAGGGGAGGCCTTATCTCCGAAACTCTCCAGCAACGCACTCGTAACTCCTCTGGTGTTGCAGTTATTCAACGGCGGCGCTGATTGCTTACCATCAGGTAATCCGTCTACTCATATATACAAATAATAATATTCGCAAGGCATCTTATAGTGAGCTGTTGGGCAGTGGCGATTCCACGGCCCTGACACTGGGAGGTGTCTTGTTCTTCATCTCCGGTTAGTCCTCGTGACTAGATGGAGTGAACACTGTTGAGGGACAGGCCGTACTACCTCATTCTTCCCTTAGTTGGCTAGCTTGAGTGGAAATTCGCAAGAGCAGGAGTTGAAGGAGACTCGGGGGAAGGATGTATCTCAGTAAGATGCTGGTCGGAGTCTTGATCGTACTTCCAGGATTGCTCTGATAGGCGTGGGATGCCTCTCCTTCCCCAAGCAGCTCAACGTATGTTGCCTCCGTGTCGCTACATGCTAGCGGCCGTTTTCGGGGGCCCATTAATTGAGTTTACTAGTGACCCTCTGCCTATTTATCCGTTTGCATCAATATTGGTCAGAGGCAGGGGCCATAGTATTTCCATAGTTACCATATCTGCCAGCTCATAGCATAATAATTTTCTACAACATTGCACAATAGTCCAACATCAACCGGGGATTGTCCTTGGGTGCACTTTCATAGTGCATACAGGGATAATTACTGGCTGATGTCCCATTTCACCAATATTAAAGTTGTTCAAAGGGCCTCTGCGAGTTGGCTTCGGCCCCTCGAACTCCTTCGAAAGATCCGGGATCCCGTGAATGGAAACGAACATACATAATATTAAAATCTTTACTTACTTGGGCCACTTTCATCTAGAATTATAATTTAAATTTAAACATTATATGCCTTATGTGTTACAAAACAAGGTCTAGGTCTAAACCAATGAGCCAGTTTTTGAGCAAGTTCAGAAATTCAGTTCTCTGGACAACCTCCTGCCTCGGAACGTGTCGCGGGCCCGATTCGCGCACTAATGGGTCGGCTGGACCGGAGTGATACCACGGCCTCACAGAAAACCAGCGTGAAACAACCACGTTGTGTTTCGCCGTGTGAGTGAGGTTATCAGAGACCCAATACCTTACCCTTTTCCAATCTCACATCCATGGCCGCCGTGACCATGGACGGCGCTGATTGCTTACCATCAGGTAATCCGTCTGCTCTATGCTTATAACATAAAAAAGAACAAATAGATATTAGAATGTAAAACTTAGCATCTATAAAATGAAAAGAAAATCAATAAGAAAATAATTGAAAATACGAATTTATTTTACACTAGCGGCCCGCCCCAGATTCGCACGGGTCCAACTATCTCGCTATCAAAGGGTCTCTTTTTCCTAATCTTTCCCTCCACTTTTCTAATATTTTCTTTGATAAGAACCTTCTCCTGACAATAATAAACACAATAAAAAAGGAATTATCAAAATTGGTCCAGGCGTTGTTGAGTTATGGGCTTACCAACACATTTCGCGATCCATTTTTATATATAAGATTAGTCAAAACAAAGTATTGAATTTGACTAGTTGGAAACTACTGTATTGAAGGCTGATTTTTCAATGGTTAGATAAAATTTACCTGGAGATTAATTATGATGCTGTCTCGTCACAATGTTTGTATAAGACAGTGACAGCAACAATTTTATTTCTCAGATAACATTCATCTAACTATTGAAAAATCAACCCTAAAGGATTGTTCTTCAAATAAAGAGACAGTGCATAGTTAATGCACTAGATAACGAACCTGGTTCTGGTGATTTCAATCTGAAAATATATAAATGAATTGTCACTTTACCAATAAAGTTATAAGTGCTTCTCCATAGTCTATGGATTTAGGTGGTTGACTAAAGAGCGCTCCTGAATAGTACCAATGTGATTTTTTCCGAGTTATATGTACTTTCTATGATTATTTAGACACCACTGACATACGGTGAAGGTAAACATCGTGAGGAAACCTGGACTTAAGTCAAAATATAAGTTTGAAATCGCAAATCCGCCTTGAGCAAGCGTTGTGATTAATGCTCAAACCTTCTCAGTCTGCGAAGAGGTTTTTGTTCAGCAGTGGGCACTTATAGGCTGATAATGATGATGACTTATTTATTTTATAGTATGAGAGAGCCATGCTTCCGCACGAATGGTTCGACTCGACTGGAGTGATACCACGGTCTCACAGAACATCAGCGTGAAACAACCACAGCGTTGCGTTTCGCTGTGTAAGTGAGGTTACCGGAGGCCCACGCTCCTACCCTTCCCAATCCTTAAAAACTTATTTCCGAAAGGCCGCCAACGCATTCGTAACTCCTTTGGTGTTGCGTGTGCCCATAACAGCCGGGGTTGCGGGGTAAGCGCAATGAGGCACCGCGACCTCGGCCCAGAGCAGGAGAAGGAACGGGGTTTTTTTTAGTCAGTAAGAGTCTGACACTCCCTCACGCCCGACCCGGGGCGGGAGAAGTCATTTGATGATTATCCCCTCACAAAGAGAACGCCATTAGAAAATAACATACCCGATCTCCAGAATATTCTTAGTAACGCGCTCTCCCCCTATCTCGAAGGTTGCCTGGTAAAATGCTTCGTATATCGATGTGAACTCAGTTATCCTTATAATGATGGACCCTGTTCTTTCTGTATTTTCTGCCAGCTGTAATATAAACAAGACATCAATTTTATTTATATATTTATTTTGACACTTTCAAGTGTGGGAGAGCCAAGCTTCGGCACGAATGGGTCGGCTCGACCGGAGTGATGCCACGGCCTCACAGAAAACCGGCGTGAAATAACCACGTGTGAGTGAGGTTACCGGAGACCCAATCCCTCCTAAATCCCTAAATCTCCAAATCCCTAATCCCTAAAAGGTCGGCAACGCACTCGTAACTCCTCCGTTGCGAGTGTCCATGGGCGGCGCTGATTGCTTACCATCAGGTAATCCGTCTGCTCGGTTGCCGACTTTTAAACAAAAAAAACCCCTTAAACACCTCACGTAATTTATGGACGCCCCCTAAATAAATACAAGGCGTTCATATGGAAAAATACCGTGTTCGAAAAATTTATTTTACCGTATACCGTGCAAAGTTGTCACCGGGCACGCTGCGTCTCAAAACGATTATATAGAATATAGAATACTAGCTACTCTCGCGCGGTTTCACCCGCCGCTCAGCTTCATTTGATCATAGCGTGATGTTTAATACCCTTTAGCACTCGGGAACATTGTAGCTATCTATCAGTGAAAGAATTTTGGCAACCCGACCAGCGGTTCCAAAGATTACCCCCTACATACAAACTTAAAAATTTTACCTCTTTATTATATTAGTATGGATAAACTTACCAGATAAAACGCTACTGAGCCAGCGTTGGATCGGCGTGTCTCAGAGCTTCTACCCATCGGTATCCCATTTACTGTCATCTGAAATAAAAGAGCCTTTAAGTGCTTTTCTGGTTTTCAATGAATATCTTCCCATAATTATTTCGTTGCGGAGTCCAAATTTTTTATGATTTTTTAAAAACTTTGCCCCACACAAGGATTTTTTCCTGTGTCGTGGGTGCGTTTAGAAACGTTCAATTTCACATAAACATGGGTGTCTTGTGTATGTGAAATTGAATGTGATCCGAAACAACGATTTGTGGATCACTCAAAGTGTTGTTCCGTGCGGGAATCGAACCCGAGAGACGTTGCATGGCAGCCAGTTACCGGCCACCGCACCAACCGTGCAGTCAAAAATAGTCTTTCTTGCTGATTGAAAACTAGCTTCCGCACGCGGCTTCACCTGCGTATCAAGTTGATAAAAAGTATCCTATGTCCTATTCCGGAGTGTATCCTCTGCCTGTGCCAAATTTCATCCAGATCCGTCCAGCAGTTTTAGCGTGTTTGAGTAACAAACATCCAAACATCGTAACTTTCGCATTTATAATATTACTAGCGGGCCGCCCCCGCTCCGCACGGGTCCAACTATCGCGTAAACAATGAAAGGATCACCTTTACCCAACTTTTCTTTCAAAAAATTCGAAAATTTTCTTTGATAAGAACCTGCCAATAATAAATACAACAAAAAAATAATTGGCAAAATTGGTCAAGGCGTTCTTGAGTAATGCGCTTACCAACACATTTTGCGATTCATTTTTATATATTAAGATAGTAGAAGTAAGTAAGATAACGACTAACTCACGAGAATTAACTGAGAATAGATCTACAAGTTTCAAGTCACACCGGGACTCTTATATTCGCAGCCGTCGCTACCTTCTGCGAGGCCGTGGTGCTCGCAAAGGAGCCGGCGGAAAGGAAAACTGCCTCTTTTTTTACTTACTATAAGCTAGTGCTTGACTGCGATCCCACCTGATGGTAAGCAGTGGTATATATGGTAAAGCGCACTAGTTTATTAAGAGCCTATTCACTCTAGCCTTGAAGACACCTAAATTGTATTCGGACGGAAAGACTGCAGCCGGCAAACTGTTCCAATCCCTCGATGTACGCGGTATAATTGGTCCGGGCCGCAGGCGTCTCAACAACGTAGGGGTGGATATTCGCCGTACGCCGGGATGTCCGAAGGTGAAATTGGGATGGCGGAATCAAATCGCGTAATTCCTGCGCACACTCTCCAAAATGCATCCTGTAGAAAACCGCAAGGCTAGCTACTCTACGCCTGTACTCGAGACTTTGAAGATTGGACCCAACCAAATCTGGATCACCAATCAGGCTCCTCTCTCTCCTCCCGCAGCAGACGCTCTAGACTTCGTAGGGCGGCCGACCTGCGGCCACCGTAGGACGTGGCCTGCGGACGACAGACTCAGGGCGTCGAGTCCTGCGGTCGGGATGACGGCTGCAGTGGGTGACGGGACCCGCCTCACCATCTGGCAGGCCAATACCCGTCGGGGGGTTGCGACGAATGCTTCGGCGATACGCGCCCCTTAAACTCATGGGTAAGTGGAGGAACACCGGGTTGGTTTTTTGTCAGTAAAAGTCTGACAGTACCCTTCGTCCTTCCCCGAGGGTTATGGGTCTCCATAAGGATTTTCCAAACCGACACCAAAAAAAGGACTCTTATTCGCAGATGCCACACCTGTCGCCGTTTGACGGCAGATGGCGCGTTGGGCGCGCATTGTCGAATAGTCAGTTGATATAGTCTCATGATTACTCATGAATAAGAATCCCGCTGTGACTTAATTGAAAATAGTTGAGCTTTTCTTAGTTATTTCATGTGAGTTAAGTTAATCGTTATTTTCAACAGATACAGGATGTCTCACGTTATTTAAAAACAGTCATTCATATCCCTAGGATGCGGCGGACTTCAGTGTACCGGTGTTTTAATGGTTGTATCTACAGACTGTAGATCCTAGGTTACCTACAGAAGTTGCAGCGGTTTATGATTTGGCGATTAATGAGTATAGAAATAAATAATTTATACATAGAATCAGGCGTTAGGTACTTTGCGGAAATCCATGACATTAAATGTTAGGAAAAATATTTAGTTTTTTATTCCGCGACAAGAATCCAGGCTTGTTGCAGGATGCAATCCTACTCCTATGCAATCATTTGTATGCACATGCAGCAAAGGTTCTCCCTCCCACATGCATATGCACACGTGCAAGACATGCTACGCAATTAAACCTATACTCGACACGTAATTTGCCCATCCACAGGGCATCCTCAGGAGCCAACATCTCCTGGGATCTCCGACATTGCATCTTGCAACAAGCCTGGATTTTTGTCGCGGAATCAAAAATAAATATTTTTTATAATATCTATCTTCTAAATATATTAAACTCTAAGGTGACTGATATAGTGATCTATCAACGCACAGCCCAAACTACTGGACGGATCGGACTGAAAATTGGCATGCAGGTAGATGTTATGACATAGGCATCCGCTAAGAATGGATTTAGATGAAATTCCACCTCTATGGGGATAAAATAGGGGATGAAAGTTTGTATAAATCTTCTTGGATTTTCGACTGATTGAGTTGGAATTAAAGATTGATGAAGATAAGGCCTTAATTTTTAACACACGCTAAACAAAAGTAAAGCCGCATAAACTATACCTAATTAATAATAATATTTCTTATCGCGAGCGAGGCCGCCGGCAAAAGCTAGTTTAATATAGAAATAAAGTCTCTTTGGGAAAGTTTTTATCATGAGTACAATCAATTTAAGTGTGGGAGAGCCATGCTTCGGCACGAATGGGTCGGCTCGACCGGAGTTATACCACGGCCTCACAGAAAACCGGCGTGAAACAACCACAGTGTTGTATTTCGCCGTATGAGTGAGGTTACCGGAGGTCCAATCCTTCCCCTTCCCAGATCCCTACCCAGTTCCTAAGTGTCCAAGGGCGGCGCTGCTTGCTTACCATCAGGTAATCCGTCTGCTTGTTTGCCGACCTATTACATAAAAAAATCGATATACAAAATATTACACTATTAAAAAGACAGAGAGCGAATATAATACCTCTATAACAGTGCATTTAGATTTGCATCCATAATTTGTCGTATACTCAAATTGCTTTCCTTCCTCTGGCGGATCCATTCGAGTGAGCTCAGGTGAAATTTTCACAGCTGTAAAAATAATTGTAATAATCTCAATGTCATCATCCTCATCAGCCTAAGTGAAATGTGGGAGAGCCAAGCTTCGGCACGAATGGGTCGGCTCGACCGGAGTGATACCACGGCCTCACAGAAAACCGGCGTGAAACAGCCACAGCGTTGTGTTTCGCCGTGTGAGTGAGGTTACCGGAGGCCCAATCCTTCCCCTCGCCCAATCCCTCCTCAATCCCTAAATAGTCGGCTACGTACTCGTAACTCCTTCGTTGCGGGTGTCCATGGGCGGCGCTGATTGCTTACCATCAGGTAATCCGTCTTCTAGTTTGGCGACCTATTACCTATATAAAAAAAGGAAGAAAAACAAAAATAAAGTAAAAATTACCTGGTGCTAAAATAGTAAAAAGAAAACAATATTTTAACCACCATTTTAAGGGTTGATTTTTCAATAGTCAGATAAATGTTATCTGAGTAATAAAATTGTTGCTGTCACTGTCTTATACAAACATTGTGACGCGACAGCATCATAATTATTGCCCAGGTAACTTTTATCTAACCATTGAAAAATCAACCCTAAAGACATTAACAACAATATTATATGAAACTAGCGACCCGTCCCGGCTTCAAACTGGTGCAATGTTGATACTTAATTTATCTACTATTTATAAACTTAATTATAAACCTTCTTCTTCAATCACTCTATCTATAAAAAAACTGCATCGAAATCCGTTGCGTAGTTTTAAAGATTTATGCGTAGGTACAGGCCGCGCCAAACTTTGTGACCGCCCTGAATATAGTCGCGAGTCCGAACTTGGTACAGTCGAGTGGGCAATACGTAATCTAACAATTTTCGTTTTCTAACATTTTTAATACTGGTTGATTACGTTTATACTAATACTAGCTTTTGCCCGCGACTTCGTTCGCGTGGACTTCAGGTTCGTCCCGTCTAGTCTAGTAATAAGTAAGAAATACGGTAACTAAGCACTGCAGAGCCCTACTATAGGTAGCTACTGCAGTATGCTCCTATAAACTACATTTAACGATCTTTTTCCTTCAGCATAAACATGCAGATTCTTCGCTTTGGAAACGTAAACGACCTCACATTAGAAACCTCAAAAATTGTAGCCTATGTGTTATTCTGATGTATAAGCTATATTGTGGTAAAGTTTCATTCAAATCCATTCAGTAGTTTTTACGTGAAAGAGTAACAAACATCCATACATCCATACTTACAAACTTTCGCCTTTATAATAGTAGTAGGATTGGTTGATTACGTATGGCCCACTCGACTGTACCATGCGCGAGTTCGGACTCGCGACTATATTCAGGGCGGTCACAAAGTTTGGCGGGATGGAGAAAGCGACTTTATTTAATAATGTAATGATTATAAAAGAAAAATACTTACAAGCATCTGTGGAATTCGAAATTTATAGCATTTAATAATAATTATTATTATTTTTTCAACAAAACAAATTAACAATTATATGTTTTAAGTACTTTTTCAATGTATAAAATGTTCACATTGACGATACCAAAAATCGTAAGTGAAACTGAAAATTTACGGGGAAAGCTCTACCAGTTTCGAGTTACAACGGGACTCTTACTCATGACTTTCCAGCTGACTGACGTAAATCGTCTTTGCCATTTTTCAACTAAAATCACATTCAAAACCGTTTATTACAATTACACATTTTTTTGTGACGGGATAATCATCAAATGACTTCTCCCGTCCAGAGTCGGGCAGTAAGGAGTGTCAGACTCTTACTGACTAAAAACCCCCCTGTTCCTTCTCCTGCTCTGGGCCGAGGTCGCGGTGCCTCATTGCGCTTACCCCGCAACCGCCTCGAGTGTCCTGAGGCGTGAGGAGGAGGATAGCTACCTCACGCGCACTGACGCTATCTAGACCCTTGTGGTCCAATGTCCTACAAAGTGATATTTTTAACCCCCGACGCAAAAAAGGGGTGTTATAAGTTTGACGTGTCTGTCTGTCTGTCTGTCTGGCATCATAGCTCCTGAACGAATGAACCGATTTCATTTTTTTTTTATTTTGTATTACAGATGTTTTACGTCGAGTGTTCTTAGACACGTTTGATGAAAATCGATTGAGCCTTTTAAAAGTTATGGGGTGTTAAAGTGGGGAAGAAAAACCGAATGTCTGCAAATATGCTCAAGTGGGGTATCAAATGAAAGGTTATGACTTGTACGTCACAAAAAACAAAAACTTTAATAAGTTCGACGTGTCTGTCTGTGTGTCTGTGTGTCTGTGGCATCATAGCTCCTGAACGGATGAAACGATGTCAATTAAGTTTTTTTGTATTATATACTTTTTAAAGGTAGCTTATGTTTTTTGTGTCAGGGGTTTCTTTAATTTATTATAAACATAAAAATTATAATAGACTTACTCTCCACAAGGGCCACAACTTTTGTATAATCTTTTTCATCAATTTTGAATATTGCTTGATACACGCAAGCGTTTTCATCTTGGAACCTGAAAAAGAAATTCATTTACCCGGGTTACCTACTGACTAAACATCTAAGCGTCGACGAAGACCGTATTAGTGTGATCACCGCCCCGATCACCCGAGGACATGGCGGTGTTCTGCCCAAGCAGGGTACACCGTATCCTAGGTCCTCACAATGCCGACACTCGGGCGTTTCCTCCCGCTGGATACGAAACAGGAACCTACCGAAGCTGCCGTGCCCAGTAAGCAGGCGGATGATGAGGAAGGTCTTTCAAAGATAGGTCTTACCGCTGCTATTACAGCATGCATATCATAAGTTGGTTGTTCAAGTGTGAGAAAACCATGCTTCGGCACGAATGGGTCGGCTCGACCGGAGTCATACCACGGCCTCACAGAAAATCGGTGTGAAACAACCACGGCGTTGTGTTTTGCCGTATGAGTGAGGTTACCGGAGACCCAATCCTTCCACTTTCCAATCCCAAAATCTCACGATCTGAAGGCCGGCAGCGCACTCGTAACCCCTTTAGTATTGCGGAAGTCCATGGGCGGCGCTGATTGCTTACCATCAGGTAATCCGTCAGCTTGTTTGCCGTCCTTACACATAATATATTACATAGTGGGGCAGTAAAAAAGTCAAAAGTCAAAAATCATTTATTTCAATTAGACCCTTACAGGCACTTTTGAACGTCAAACAAAATTTTGAAGATATAATGTCAGTCTGTCGGTCAGTCCTCTTAGTGAAGCTATTTGCTCGTTCCAAAGTGTAGATTCCGATGGAGAAGAATGAGCAAGAAACTCCATGGTTACTCATGGCAAGAAGAAGTGTCGGACTCTTACTGACTAAAACCCACCTCCTTCTCCTGTTCCGAGCCAGGCACTAGTTGGATACAAGTGCCTGGCTTGGCGCCAAGTTTGAATATTTCTACTTTTACTCACCCAGAAAAATGAATGTTGATGGTTTTGGACGATGGGTTCGGAGCAGCTATCGTCTGCGGTACCTTTTCACCTCTACAAATTATCTCTTTAAGTTCGCATTTGGATTTACATTTGTAATTTAGCGGTTTATCCAGAAGATCACCAACGCGTAATGGGAATTTTAACATGGGTATTTGAATTACTGAAATTAATACAAATTCTTTATTAGTATTTCGTATGTTTATAGAAGGAGACTTTTTTAAGGACTGGGTCGGTACTATAGCAAAATTACTGTGCAAAGTTCAAAATGGGCCTCTCCGCTAATAGCTGATTTGATTGCGCGAAGTTTCCGGTAAGTAATTTTTTATTTTTTTTAACACACTTCATCATAAAGTGCTTTTAATCCCACAGTAATTGGATAGTTTCCTAGGTCAAAAATTAATAATTTCGACTTTTCAATACAGTAAAATTTCGAAAAATAATCTATACATAGGTACTTTTATTTATCGATCGATCAATAAGCCCACTGAATTTTAGATATTTTTTAGCTTTTTTTTAAGAAATAAGTAAGCTATTTGTCGCGAAAATGCTATGATGACATCACTCAGTTTTCTTAGAAAAGTATCGTTTTTGACATTTGAATAAAAGTACGTATTGAATTTGACTTAGTTGGAAACTACCGTATTGTAACATTTTATAAACAATAAAAAACTTACAGTTATCTGAAAAAAGTAAAAGTAATAAAATCAATGTAATTAATAAAACATTGCGTTTTTTTTCTCAGGCTCGACTGGAGTGATACCACTGCCTCACAGAAAACAACGTGAAACAATGTCAATGGAAGCCTACACAGAAATCAAAGTCTTAATAACAATTCATATATTTAAGTGTGGAAAAGCCGGTTCGGCTTGAATGAGCCGGCTCGACCGGAGTGATACCACGTGAAACAACTACACCGTTGTTTTTCGCCGTGTGAGTGAGGTTACCGGAGGCCCAAATTAGCCCCTTAAGATTCCTTAAAACCTCTTTTTATGGGTTTCTTAACTTTTTAATTTTAGTCTTTAAATTCTAGAGGTTAGGGCCCACCAGAACGCCGGCAACGTATCAAGAACTCCTTGATATTGAAGTTAGAGAGCTCCGGAACCGTAACCAACACTATCGGATATCCGATATAAACAAAAAAACCGTAACTGAAACCGAAATAAAAGGTTTCGAATGATATCGGATAGGGGCGGAGCCTAATTGAGCCACGTTATGTTTGTAGGTATTTTACTTTCGAAATGCTTTAAAATTTTAATAACCGTTACTGAAATTATTCGAAACTAACGAATAATCCGAAATAATTTCATATCCTTTAACCGTAATCGTATCCAGCACGTCGATTCTATAAAATTTGTTTGATTTTGAATCTTGTTCGAGTGTGAAGTCAACGTCGAAGTGACGGGGAAATTACATTATAGAGTGCCACTTTTAACGTCATCTCATACTTTATCTATCAAAATGTTGCTGTCAATTTAGTTCAACTCGCAAGTGTAGCGCTAGTGTACTACTACTCACGTCGGATTCAGATTCGAAGTTTAGAATGAAGTCTAACAGAATCACACTGCAGTATAATAATCATTCCTATATCCGTATTTGAAATTTCATATCCATAATGTCCCTAATTGCGACGTCCATGGGCGACGAAAATTGCTTACCAACAAGTCGCTCGTTTACAAACCTATTGAATAAAGAAAAATCTGCAGAAAACTCTGAAAACCGATTCATCATCATCATCATCATCATCAGCCTATAAGTGCCCACTGCTGAGCAAAGGCCTCTTCTCATACGGAGAAGGTTAGAGCATTAATCACCACGCTTGTTCAATGCGGGTTGGCGATTTCAAACTTATAATTAGAAATTATAAGTCCAGGTTTCCTCACGATGTTTACCTTGTGTGTCTATGTCAGTGGTGTCTAAATAACCATAGAAAGTACATATAACTCGGAAAAAGTCACATTGGTACTTGCCAGGTTTTGAACTCACACCCTCAGGCATGAGAAGCGGGCTCCTTAACCTCCGGGCCACCACGACATACGACACCGATTGCAATAATATAATATGATTTTATGCTTTTCGAATAATTAATTAAATTGTGCAAGTCTTGATTCGTGTATCACAAAACTTATTACGCAAACAAAAAACTTACTTTTATCTGAAAAATCAGAATAATCCATTAATAATATTACGAATTTTTAATGTGAGATGCCATGCTTCGGCACGAATGGGTCGGCTCGACCGGAATGATACCACGGCCTCACAGAAGACCGGCGTGAAACAACCACAGCGTTGTGTTTCGCCGTGTGAGTGAGGTCGACGGAAACCCAATCCTTCCCCTCCCCAATCTCTAAATCCATGAAATCCTTTTCCCCTATAGGCCGGCACTATGGGCAACGTCGTTTGCTTACCATCAGGTAATCCGTCTTCTTGTTACCATCATGATGTTATTTCCCTCCGAAGAGTTAAGCAGAAGTGATTTCGTAGACCAGAATCTAGAATTTCAATCGGGCAGTTTATAGTCGACTAGCTACTCTCACGCGGCACCACCCGCTGCTCGGCTCTATTTGATCGTAGCGTGGTGTTTTATAGCCTATAGCACTTAGGAACATTGTAGCTATGTATCAGTGAAAGAATTTTAGCAATCCGACCGGCGGTTCCAAAGATTATCCCCAACATAGAAACTTACAAATTTTAACTCTTTAATATCAAGTGTAGATTGTTGTTTAAATGTAATCACTAGCTTCCGCACGCGGCTTCGCCCGCCCTAGCCCTAGCCCGCCGGAGTGTATCCTATGCCTGTGCCCAACTTCATCCAGATCCGTCCAGCTGTTTTGGCGTGATTGAGTAACAAACATCAAAACATCGTTACTTTCGCATTTATAATATTATAAACTGTTACAAAACTAACCTGGTCCTGTAAACAGTAAGAAGATGTTTTCAGAATTAATTTCCAAGTCTCTTTAAGTAAAGGATGTTTAAACTGCACCACTATATTTATAAATTTAAGAAAGCAAAATTATTAATGAGTGTACAATAACATATAATAACGCAGCCGTACTAATGCGAAAAGTAATCAGTCTGCTTGCGACCACGACCTGTGCAACCAGGTCGAAACGTCAAGCCTGCCAACGTATTTAAATAATAACTAATACCCCCTTAATTACATGTTGTATGTTAGTATAATCACACACACACACCCTAATCGAGACCTATGGTAACCCCTCCCGCCATTATTTGGGATCCATCGTCCCATCCAGACGTGGCGCGTTCCGACCGCCGTGAAAGCACATGGCCTGGGACTTGTGCATTGCCACCTCGAGTCCCAACTGCCGGATCCTTGCAGCGACTGTTGCATCCACTTGTGATATCATTGTACGTATGTACTCGATGTTCCATAGAAACGGTCCCAAGACCGATCCCTGTGGAACACCGCGCGACATCTTTCGCCAGTCTCACACACCCCAGGGTATATGACGGATCAGTTCGTCAAGCAAGCCTCGACTACAAGACGGTAATAGACAGGCACCTGGTAGTACCGGAGTGCCTCCAGAATGCATTTCCAGAGACTCCACCACGACTACCCGCCCCCTGGCCTATGCGGAAGCCGAACTGTCCGTCCCGTTCCCGACAGGTGCCCGACGAGACGGTCCGAGATTTTTCTCTCGATCAGTTTTCAGCTCAATGGGCCGGTGCCCGTTCGCGGATGGAGAGGTTTCTTCACGAGGACCAGTTTACCTGTCTTCCACGACAGCGGAAACTGGCTCCCGCGACCACCCATACTCTTGGCGCTTACGTTGACCCGGCCGGACTCAGGGTATTGCCACGGGTCAAGCGCAATGAGTCACCGCGTAGTTTTAAAGATTTAACTTAAGCATGCATATGCATAAAGCAACTTTGTTTTATACTACTAGTGTAGTTGAAAGTAGTAATTGTAGATTCAAATTAATAGTGAAAAACTTTGACTTACTTGGGGCTTAAATAGGAAACAAAAAAAAATATTATTGCTAATCTAATAACGTTCTCGTAAATTATATACTCTATGCACTGTCAAAAAAAGCAATTTCACCACGCCGTGCCGCAGGCGCAGTCGCTTGCGGCACGGCTTCCATTTGACATCGCCACCATGGATGTCAATTTTGCACTTTTTCAAGATTTTTTTTATTTTCTCTAAGTGCAAACCTTTTTTTGACTTCTACGAATATTTTAAAACTGAAATTAGCCAAATCGGTGAAGGCATTGTTGAGTTATCACATAACAACGAAAAGTGGTATTGATTTTTAAGTATAGGTATAGATTATTATTACCTACCTTCAATTGTCAACGCTTTAAATTTCTCTTCGCTTCCATCATCATTTTGTATTATCAAAAAGTAATCGCCAAAGCTCTGAGGCGTTAAAATTCCAATATCGATTTCAACATAGGTTTGCCTGAAATAAAAATATTACTTACTCATTCAAAAAATATTCAATTTCACTTGTCTCACAAGTCTTTGTGGGATCCACAAATTGTTGTTCCGTGGGTCTGGGTGTGATGTGTATGTGACATTGTATGTTTGTAAACGCATCCAGGACACCGGAGTATGATGTATGTGTTGGGCCAAAGATTGCCGTCATATACCTAATAATCATCATCATCATCATCAGCCTATGAGTGCCCACTGCTGAGCAAAGGCCTCTTCTCACACGGAAAAGGTTTGAGCATTACCCACCACGCTTGCTCATGGCGGATTGGCGTTTTCAAAGTCATAATTAGAAATTATAAGTCCAGGTTGCCTCGCGATGTTTTCCTTCACCGTATGTCAGTGGTGTCTTAATAATCATAGAAAGCACCGGAACATTCTTTTTGCCAAAGTCGGCAAAAATTTTACATTAAATCCCAATATCAAATAAGAAAGTGAAAATATATACTCAACTCAAATCCTTTCCTGAAATAAAGATATGAAAAGAAATTAGTTAATTAGTCCATTCGGAGGTACAATAATTTTCTATTATCCCCCAGACCCGAGCGTACGGCGCGTAGCGTTCCGCGCGCGCCTCAAAGAGCCAATAGATCATTACAGACGGGGCCCTATAGGGCTGATGTTTAACCGGGGTTGCGGGGTAAGTGCAATGAGTCACCCCGGTCTCGGCCCAGAGTAGGAGAAGGAACAGGGGGAGCTTTAAGTCAGTAAGAGTCTGACACTCCCGCCTGACCCTGGCAATGGGCGGCGCTAAATGTTTCATCATCATCATCATCAGCCTATAAGTGCCCACCGCTGAGCCTCTGAATTAATCACCACGCTTGCTCAAGGCGGATTGGCGATTTCAAACTTATCATTAGAAATTAAAGTCCAGGTTTCCTCACGATGTTTTCCTTCACCGTATGTGAAGACAGTGGTGTCTAAATAATCATATAAGGTATATACTACATAAAGTACATATAACTCGGAAAAAGTCACATTGGTACTTGCCAGGTTTGAACCCTCAGGCACGAGAGGCGGGTGCCCAAAATTGCCCAAAATGTGAATAAGCGCCTGTAGCCCACGGTCATTGATATATCCCCATCAGACTTTTACTGACTAAAAACCACTCCGTTCCTTCGCCTTTTTTTTCTTTTTATGTAATAGGACGGCAAACAAGCAGACGGGTTATCTGATACTGACACTCACAACACCAAAGGAGTAACGAATGCGTTGCCGGCCGTTTGGGCATAAAGGTTGCGGCTATTTAAGGATTGGGAAGGGATAGGGTAGGGGAAGGGATTGGGCCGCTGGTAACCTCACTCACACGGCGAAACACAACGCTGTGAATGTTTAACGAAGTTTTCTGTGAGGCCGTGGTATCAATGCGGTCGAGCCGACCCATTCGTGCCGAAGCTTGGCTCTCCCACACTTGAATACCAGCGCGAAACAACTACAGAGTTGTGTTTCGCCGTATGAGTGAGGTTACCTTATGCACAATCCGTCTTCTCCTCTCCCAATTCCTAAATCTCCGAAACCCTTATCCCCAAAAAGCCGTCATGCTTCGGCACGAATGGATCTGCTCGACCAGAGTGATACCACGGCCTCACAGAAAACCGGCGTGAAACAACCACAACGTTGTGTTTCGACGTGTGAGTGAGGTTACCGGAGGCCCAATCCTTCCCCTACCCCAATCCCTTCCCAATCCCTAAATCTCCTAAATCCCAATCCTTAAAAGGTCGTCAACGCACTCGTAACTCCTTCTTTGTAGCGGGTTTCCATGGGCGACGCCGATTGCTTACCATCAGGTAATTCGTCTGCTCGTTTGCCGTCCTATCACATAAAAAAAAGTAAAAAGAACGAACTTACCCGTCAGTGAATTTTCTGACTCGATATTTATTAGTTTCAACGTTCCGTGGCACGCTGTCACTGGATCTCCACATGATGCCTCGTAGTACACACTTGACACACGTTAAATATATGGAGGTCTTGTTCAAGTTTTGCCCTGGTACCATCACAAGAGATATTGGTTGAAGCCGCGTCTGCCCAGCGCCTGTGGAATAAATATTAACATTTTTGTTAACACAAAATAAATGCACAGAATAAAGTTTAGTTTGTTCTTTTTTTCACCCCCGACGCAAAAAGAGGAGTGTTATAAGTTTGACGTGTCTGTCTGTCTGTCTGTCTGTGACATCCTGGAGCCTGAACGGGTGAAGCGATTTCAATTTCATCATCATCATCAGCCTATAAGTGCCCACTGCTGAGCAAAGGCCTCTTCTCATACGGAGAAGGTTTGAGCATTAATCACCACGCTTGCTCAATGCGGGTTGGCGATTTCAAACTTATAATTAGAAATTATAAGTCCAGGTTTCCTCACGATGTTTACCTTCACCGTATGTCAGTAGTGTCTAAATAATCATAGAAAGTAGATATAACTCGGAAAAAGTTACATTGGTACTTGCCAGATTTCAATTTAGTTTTTTTTTTTGTATTAAAGGTGATTTACGTGCGAGTGTTCTTAGGCTCTTAGACATGTTTGACGAAAATCGGTTGAGCGGTTTAAAAGTTATGGGGGGATAAGTGGGGAAGGGTAACCGAGGGTCTGCTAATATACTCGAGTGGGGTCTCAAATGAAAGCGCACTGAAAGGGAATGTTGATGACTTAATCGAGAGGAAATGATTTAAAAATAAATTAGACCCCCGACAAAATAGAAATATGTAGTTGATAATAAAATGTATGGATCGGTCCCCAACGCCACGTTTTCTTCTAATTATTACTTTTTAAAGGAATATTAGATTTTTTTGTCGGGGGTTTTCTAAAATTTAAATTTTGTTATTTTACTGGGACAAGCCCGCCGCTACATCCCAAAACCGCCCCAACTTCTGTAAGCCAGGATCTACAGTAGATACAACCATGACAACACCGGAACACTGAAGTCCGCCGCATCCCAGGGACATGAATGACTGTCTTGGATCCCGCAACGAAATAAATCAGAAGATTTTATTTGAGGAGAAGAAAAAACTCAACAGTTTCCACTTCTCTCGGTAAATTTAATGCAGGAGACAGAATGACTTAGGCCTTAACCCGAGCGTATGGCACGTAGCGTTCCGCGCGCGCCTCAAAGAGTCAATAGTCCACCACAGACGGGGTCCGATAGGGCTGATGTTCAGTCGGGGTTGCAGGGTAAACGCAATGAGGCACCGCGACCTCGGCCCAGAGCAGGGGAAGGAACAGGGGGGTTTTTAGTCAGAAAGGGTCTGACACTAGGGACATTTGATGATTGTCCCTTGACAAAAAAGGCCTTATATACACTGAAGAGACTGTACAACTGGGAGAAACCCAGTCACCAAACACCGCGGAACATTTTGTATTGTTATAGTAATGGGACCTATGTGTGAGCTGCTATAGTTGTTCCCAGTACTGGAAACAACTATAATTATGGTGATCTAATATGAATAAAGGTTTTTTTTGTTTTTTTTTATGGTATAAGTCGGCAAACGAGCATACGTATTACCTGATGGTAAGCAATCGGCGCCGCCTATGGACACCCGCAACACCAAAGACGAGTGCGTTACCGGCCTTTTGAGGATAGGGGTTGCGGATATAAGGATCGCGAAGGGATAGGGGAAGGAGAGGGATTGGGCCTTCGGTAACCTCACTCACACGGCGAAACACAAAGCTGTGGTTGTCTCACGCCGGTATTCTGTGAGGCCGTGGTATAACTCTGGTCGAGCTGACCGACCCGAAATGAAAACAAAATGGTTTTTCTACTTACTAATTGTAACAAGATCCAAAAAAACGTAGTTTGTGCTTGAGCCAGTATCGCTTCGGAACCGAGCGTAATAAGTTGCAGCGTCCATGGGCAAGAATGGTTTGAAATACATCTCAATTTTTATGTAAGGCTCGCTCTTTTCAGCGTACACTTCAATGTGTTTGTATGCCTGAAATTAAACAGTCTATTAGTTAACTAAAATTCGCGGGTTACTCACGTGTACATGTTGAGAAAAGCTCTACTAGTTTCGAACCACAGAGGGGTTCTTCCTCATGAGCAGCGTGCGCGGACGTTTTTTTTTCGTTTTTTTTAATTTTAGTTAACCCTATACTTGGCAGAGATTTTTTTTTTTAATTTTTTGAAAAAGAATGACTTTATTGTGTTCCTAGGTGATCACTGGAAGGGCAAAAAATAATAAAAAAATATATAATTGTTTAGTTTACGTTTTATTGTATGTATCACATAAGGCACATTACCGTGTTCATAACAATCAATAGAAAAAATACGATGTATCTTATTTGACACATTGTCAAGAAAAGGAAAAATAAAAATAATGCAAACTCTTTTTCTTAATCAACAAGTATAATAGGAAACTTCTAAAAATCAACATAATTATCGGTCTCAATAATCAGCCTTTAAGTCTTACTTAATTAATGAGTCTTATTTATCAATAAAATGAGATCAATTTTATAAATTACTACTTACTACGTACGTATACATATCAGTCTCAAGAGATTCTTTTTAATAGTAATTATTAGTTTTTACTTCTTAGTGTGGTACTGTAAAAAACAATTACGATCGGGCAATAAACACAACCGTATTTCACATGTTTGACAAAAGAACTTCATCTGTCCTTTTGTGCAGTACGTACACCTTCCCCTGGTAATTATTATTTTGGGATAGTGACCAATCTGGTCATATTGCACAGCATCTGGGGGTCTTTCAGCTACTGGTTTCTGTATCGTAGCTATTGAGTTGGAAGAGAGTCTACCGATATCGCTCGTCTTAGTTCGCTCAAATTTGCGTAGGCTTTCTAATATTTCTATGGTAAATGTTTTTAGTGACTTCAGTTTTTTGGTATCATGTCTAGCTTTCATATCACGCCGATATAAAAGCCAGGCATTATTTACGCAGATATCTAGCATTTGTGAGAAGATTGGCAAATACCAGCGATGGCCTCGGAACGGCGTACGATACCGAGCCACCAGCATATCTGCTAGGTCTACTCCACCCATATTAGTGTTTGGGCAAGTCACAGGAATGTTTCTTCCTTGGTCTTTGTTGTAACGAGACACAGTCTAGATAGGATGAGCGTCTACAAATGTGCTAGCAGCTGTAACACATTTGTTATCATACCATTTAATAACAACAATCTTATTTTTATTGCAAACTACTTGTGCGTGAGAACCTCTGCCTTTCTTTTTTAAATTTTTATCAGTAGGTAGTTTTTTCTCCGCTCCTCGAAGCCTGTTTGCTCATATTGTTCCCAAGGCGAATACGCCGTATTCCTCACGCAAATATTGCAGGAGCTCAATAGAAGTGAAGAAGTTGTCGAAGCATAAGATTTTGCATGCAGGTTGGTGAATAGACTTTGTCAAAACTAGCACAACTTTCGATCCTAGGCCCATACTATTTTCTTCATCAGTGAATTCGGGAAACCTAAATGTGTCATCTCCTCCGTAAATTAAAAAGTCGTACACTATTCCTGAGACACCAGCACGCAATATCATTTGTCTCAGTATCATCATCTGATAATAAATGGAGGTTTTCTATCGAAGATGGTAATGAGAGCGGTGATGAACTACTGTCGGAGTTCGCTGGGCCTGCGTTATACTGGAGTTCATCTCCCGATGATTTACTTTCATCCAAATCAGATTTTGCTCCCGGCTTTGGTACAAGAGCCACAAGCTGTCGAGCTCTGTTTTGTTGCTGCTTAGTTAGTTGACCAACTACCTGCAATGATAAAATATAAACACTAATTCACACCTCTGGCGATGTCATATATTAGGTACATAGTTAAAAATATCTATAATATTGGTTATCTGGCAATGTATCACATCTGATACACTCGAAAAAACCAGTGAATAAAATATATTTACAATCGATTTTGATCAGTCAAAATAGAATACCGACTAGTAAAATATTCTAAGCTACTCAAATTATATCACTTACGGTTAAAATTATTGCAAAGTACAATTAAAAATATTTTTTTTTACCTTGCGATGTGTAGACGCGTTCGCTCTGTTCGCTATCTTGGGTTCTACTGCTTTCTCAGTGTTGGTAATAGTGAAACAACATATTTGGTAGAAATTTAATAATATTTTGCTTCCCCACAAACGATAAAAGTTTTAAAAATATTTCTAAGTTTGTGCCTAGATTTTTTAAAAGAACAACGTATTAAATTGTATACAGTGCCAAGAATAGGGTTAATTTAGTATGTCTCACGATAGTTATTATAAAAACAGTCTATTAGTGCCCACTGTCGAGCAAAGGCCTCTTCTCACACTGAGAACGTTTGAGCATTAACCACGATTGCTCAATCCGGATTCATCATTATCAGCCTGTTGTCCTCCACTGCTGGACATAGACCTTCCCAATTGCACGCCACTGAGCTCAATGTTCAGTTCTTTTCATCCAACCACTGCCAGCCACTCTGCGGATGTCGTCAGTCCACCTAGCTGGAGAACGCCCTACACAATGCGGATTGGCGGTTTCTAACTTGTAATTAGAAATCATGTAAGGCCAGGTTTCCTCACGATGTTTACCTTCACCGTATGTCAGTGGTGTCTAAATAATCATAGAAAGTACATATAACTCGGAAAAAGTCACATTGGTACTTGCCAACCAACACTCTCATGCATGAGGAGCGAGCGTCTTAACCTCAGGGCATTTACACTAAAACTTGTAGTATGAAATCAGAAAAATGTGATAGTATGCTTACCCGGACTGACTGTAAGAGTATTTTAAACACATTAATAAAAAATTTGAACGAAAGAAAATAAAGTCAAAAACCTACACAAATACATAAATAAAAAAAATACTATTTATAGTATTAAACAAAGTCGCTTTCTCTGTCCCTATATCCCTATGCACGCTTAAATCTTTAAAACAACGCAACGGATTTTGATGCGGTTTTTATAAAAGATAGAGAGTGATTCAAGAGAGATTAAGTGTGTGAGAGATGCTTTGGCACGAAAGCGACCGGCTCGACCAGAGTGATAACACTGCCTCACAGAAAACCGGCGTGAAACAACCACAGCGTTGTGTTTCGCCGTGTGAGTGAGGTTACCGGACGCCAAATCCTTCCTCACTCAATCCTAATCAATTTTCAAATCATATAACTTAAGTTAAGGAACTTTTATGTAGAAGAGTTTATTATAGGGTAGACGATTTCCTAAAAGATGATATTTAGAATTTGTAACCAGTTGACATTTAGACTGTTTGACATGTAATTTATTCTTTGACTTATGATTTTATTTGTTAATTATTTGGGTACATTTCATTTTTTTTTTATTTTGACTTTGACATTTCATATTTTTTTTTTCTATCCAAATCTTAATCATTTTATTGTATGTAGATTTTGGTAATGTCTGCCTAAAGTGACTAATTTAGTACGCCATAAATGGCAAAACATGTAGACTCTGTATATACCAAAAACACCTTTATTGTAATTACTCATGTTTTACTTAATAAATATATCTTATCTTATCTTATCTTATATATCCCTAAATCCCTAATAACCTACACGAGGTCGGCAACACACTTGTAGTAACTCCTTTGGTATTACGAGTGGCCATGATTGCTTACCATCAGGTAATCCGTCTGCTCGTTAGCCGACCTATGACATAGAAAACGTTATAACTAATCTTTTGGTGTAAGAGGTATGATGTGAATAATGATTTTACAGAAATTTTTTGACTTACCTTAAACTCATGTGATATTCGCTCCTGGAATTAAAAAAAATGAATAAATAAATCCAACTATAATATTACTAGCTTTTGCCTGCGACTCTGTTCACGTGAAATAGTGACTTCCTACAAATTTTTGGTATAAAAACTATCCTATGTCCTTTCTCGAGTTCCAAACTATGTCTGTACCAAATTTCACACAAATAGGTTCAGTAGTTTAGGCGTGAAGGAAAAGCAGACAAAGTTACTTTCGCATTTAGATTATTAGTATGGATTAGTAGGATGTGTAGGATGATTACAAAGTTTCATTAAAATCTGCACAGCAGTTTCCGTGGTGAGGCAACTTGAGTTTTAAATGTGGGAGAGCCATGCTTCGGCACGAATTGGTCGGCTCGACTGGAGTGATACCACGGCCTCACAGAAAACCGGCGTGAAACAACCACTGCGGTGTGTTTCGCCGTGTGAGTGAGGACTTCCCCACCCCTTTAGGGATTGCCCTACTCAATCCTTAAATATCCGAATCCCTAATCCCTAAAAGGTCGACAACGAACTCGTAACTCCTCAGTTACGGGTGTCCATGGTCGGCGCTGATTGCTTACCATCAGGTAATCCGTCAGCTCGTTTGCCGATCTATTACATAAAAAAATATGGAAAAACAATACTTACTTTCCTTCCATTAGGTAGGTATTTGCCAATACCATCGAACTTATATCCCGGTGGTATGGTTAGCCTTCGCATACTAGTTTTGTATTTCTGAGAAAATACTGTTGTCTCATTTTTATCGTCCTCTGCAAAAATAAATGCACTTTGGTTGGTATTCATCATCATCATCATCAGCCTATAAGTGCTCACTGTTGAGCAAAGGCCTCTTCTCATAAGGAGAAGGTTAGAACGTTAATCACCACGCTTGCTCAATACAGGTTGGCGATTTCAAACTTATAATTAGAAATTATAAGTCCAGGTTTCCTCACGATGTTTACCTTCACCGTAGGTCAGTGGTGTCTAAATAATCATAGAAAGTACATATAACTCGGAAAAAGTCACATTGGTACTTGCCAGGTTACGAAACCACGCCTTCATGCATGAGAAGCGGGCTCCTTAACCTCCGGGCCACCACGATCGGTATTGTTCGCCGGATAACTCAGTAACACCTGTCAGTTTAACTGGTTGCAAACTGACCCTTGCGTGTCTGTCTTCAGAACGGGTCCACTTAAACTGGTGTGGTTCTTTCATCAAAAGACCACTACGGAATAAACTTGCTTGGTTCTCGCACTTTGTATATTATTTTTCACATTTTCCGGACTTGAAAAGAGACGGACCTCTGAGTTTGTTTCGGCATTTGTTCTCAGAGTAGTCAGATAGCAAATGGCTTTTTGTCTCAGGGACATGAATTACTGACTTGGATCAAGTTGGATCTTACAAAGAAAGTATAAACAAATAGACCATAATAAACTTACCGGGTACAGCTAAAACAATGTAAAATTAATTGATTATAAATAAACTTAATATCACTTTTACTCTTGTTTTTTTGTGAGTACGCATATGTGAGCGCCATGTTCGAGACAACAAAGGATTACAATTTTAATGATAGATTAGATAGACCATCATTTGTTCCTTTTTATTAACAACTTGTCTCTGCATTGTTCTCACATAGGGGTACAGTAATGTATAAAAAATGTATTATTGGTGAATTGTAAAACAAATATTTTTTTAAAAAAGAGTAACGATGGAGTTTCTTGCTCGTTCTTCTCCATTCGAAACTACAATTTGGAACGAGCACCTAGCTTCACTGACGAACAGACTGACAGACTACTATTCTATTTTGACGTTTCAAAAGTAACTATTTATGGTTTAGTTAGGTAGAATAAATGATTTTGATTTGATTTGATTTGACTCAAAGAGATTTTTCGATTTACATATATCCATAGTTTAAAAGTTAAACGTTAATTCTTTGCATGAAGGAATCCCATCTGAGACTTCTCTATTTTCTTTAATTCTACAATTCTATTTTATTATTATATGTCATCATCATCATCACCAGCTTGATTCCATTCCATCCACTGCTGGACATAGGCCTCCCCAATTGCACGCCACTGAGCTGAATGTTCAGCTCTTCTCATCCAACCACTACCTCCATACGGGTATCATCAGTCCACCAAGCTTTTTTTACTTTGAGGGAAACATCATCAAATGACTTCTCGCGCCCAGGGTAAGGCGAGAGAGTGTCAGACTCTTACTGACTAAAAACCCTCCGTTCCTTCTCCTGCTCTGGGCCGAGGCCGCGGTGCCTCATTGCGGTTACCCCGCAAACCCGGTCAGTCCACCTAGCTGGAGGGCGCACTACACTACGTTTATCTAGACGTGGTCTCCACTCTAGAACACGTATACTCCAACGGTCATTGGTTCTTCAAAAAATGTGACCTGTCATATTTTATGTGATAAGCAATGATATTATAAGTAAAAAGGTGTAGATAGGTTACAAGCGCTCAGCAAGTGATACATTAAAATGTAACTAACTAGCCACACTTTTTCATATTTGTCTCTTTTCCACTCGCGATTATTGAATCATGCCATCTCACTTTGACGTCTAAACATACGAATTGTTCATGTGTGTATCAGTGTGTCGTTTTTGAAAATCGAATTTTGTTTAGGTAACCTATCTACACCATTTTACTTATAATAACATTGGTGATAAGTATAAATAATTAAATCATACTTACGTGGTGTTATTTCTGTTTTATAAAAGTAAAATTATTTATTATAATTTTATTAATTGTCAAGTATCTGTTATAAGAAGTGTGGGAGAGACGAGCTTCGACACGAATGGGTCGGCTCGACCACAGTGATACTACGACCTCACAGAAAACCGGCATGAAACAACAACAGAGTTGTATTTCGCCGTGTGAGTGAGGTTACCGGAGGCCCAATCCCTAAATGCCCAAAACCCTAATCCCCAAAAGGTCGGCAACGCACTCATTTATAACTCCTTTGTTGTAGTGGCGGTAATTGCTTACCATCAGGTAATCTATGTGCTCGTAACGTAGCGAGCAATACTTAAAAAAATCTTTATATATAGAAAATTTCGTGTAACGTCTTTGTCCGCTTCCTCCTACTCTCCTAAACTACTAAACCGATTTTAAATTTGATTTGCATTCCGTGTGCATTTGATCCAACTTGAAAGATAGGATAGCTTACATCTCAATTTATAGTCACAATATTATTTTTACAAGAACCTTAGCCACAGCAACGCGTGGCTGGGTCTGCTAGTAAAATTATAAAAAACAAATAAGCATTACTCTTACCTTCTCCTAAAATAGATAAAAAATTATTTGTAAGTAAAAAAAAAACAATAAATGGAATCGTGGAATTTCTTTGCAGGAGTCTGTTTTCCCCGAAGGTTATCATAAGTCAGTGGTGTCTAAATAATCATAGAAAGTACATATAACTCGGAAATGGTCACATTCGTACTTGCCAGATTTCAAACATGCATGCATGAGAAGCGAGTGCCTCAACCTTCATCGCTCCATAAAACACGCACAGTAAGGAATTCCACTCTTTAGCGGAAACTAAGAAGAGAAATACTTCGTGCAAGTGAGCTGATCTAAAGTCAAAAGTCAAAAAAGTCAAAAAACATTTATTCCAATTAGAACCTCACAGGCACTTTTGAACGTCAAACAAAATTTTGAAGATATAGCGTCAGTCTGGCGGTCAGTCCTCTTAGTGAAGCTATTTGCTCGTTCCAAAGTGTAGATTCCGATGGAGAAGAACGAGCAAGAAACTCCATGGTTACTCTTTTTAAATCAGTTTCACATACAGATTCCTTTTACAAACAGTTTGTTCAATCTCTTTATAATTATGACGTTGTGCCGTCTGCATCATGGTGTCCTGGGGGTTAAGGCGCCCGCTTCTCATGCATGAGGGTTCGAAACCTGACAAGTGACCAATGTGACTTTTTCCGAGTTATATATACTTTCTATGATTATTTAGACACCACTGTCATACGGTGAAGGTAAACATCGTGAGGAAACCTGGACTTGTTTTTTTGCATTTCTTATTAAAGTTTGAAATCGCCTATCCGCCTTGAGCATGTGTGGTAGTTAATGCTCAAACCTTCTCTGTGTGAGAAGAGGTTTTTAATCAGCAGTGGGCACTTATAGGCTGGTGATGTTGATATGTTTTTTGTCGTGTATCTGGTCTGGTAAAATCAAATTGGCACAGTGGTGAAAGCATAATTTTTATTAACAAAATGGGTAAGGGTACTCACTTTCAATTTCTGGAACGGGAATTAAAAAAAAGAGAAAAATAAATTAAATATATTTCATATGATTCCATGCTACACGGCTTCACTTCTAAGTGTGGAAAGCCATGCTTCGGCACGAATGGGTCGGCTCGACCGGAATGATACCACAGCCTCACAGAAAACCGGCGTGACACAACCACAGCGTTGTTTTGTCGCGTGAGTGAGGTTACCGGGGACCTAATCCTTCCCCTCCCCTAATCCCTCCTCAATTCCTAATCCCTATAAGGTCGGCAACGCACTCGTAAGTTGTCCATGGGCGGCGCTGATTGCTTACCATCAGGTAATCCGTTTGCTCGTTTGCCGACCTATGACATAAAAAAATAAGATTACCAGAGGCCGAACCTCGTCCTCTCAAAGACTATCAACGGTCTTATTCTACGAATGGCCATGGATAACATTGCTTACCATCAGGTAACGAAGGTTGATTTACCTCTACCCTAAATAAAATAAATGAAGATACTACCTTCATCCGATTCTGAAATCAATGTAATAACGAATTTATTTTAATTAAGTCCAAAATAAAATCAAATGACTTCTCCCGCTCTGGGTGCGGTGTGAGGGAGTGTCAGGCTCTTATTGACTTCATCACCCCCACCGGAGCAGGAGAAGGAAAGGGTGGGGCCTTTCCTTCTCCTGCTCTGAGCCGAGGTCGCGGTGCCCCATTGCGCTTACCCCGCAACCCCGGCTGAACATCAGCCCTATAGGGCCCCGTCTGTGGTGGTCTATTGGGTCTTCTACAAGCCAGCAATTTGGAATCCTCTTATGTTAGATTAAGTATACATATGAGATGAACAAAAAAACAATTTTGAAAGGTTTTAAATATACTTTTTTCTATCTTTCTCATAATTTATTTGTTTACTAGCTACTGTCCCGCGGTGTCACCCGCTGCTTGTTTAGTAGCTTATAGCCATCCTCGATAAATGGACTATCGAACATAAAAAGAATTGTCCAATTCGAACCAGTCGTTCTGGAGATTAGCGCGTTCAAACAAACTAACTATACAGCTTTATAATATTATCATCATCATCATCAGTATAAGTTCTTAATGTTACATAAATGTAATCATAATAAGGGAGAGCGGCCTCTCCTGGCACAGGTGTTTTCACACTTAAAAGGAGGGGGCAACCTCAATATTATGTATATTATGTATTATAATAAAACATTTTTTCATTTTCATTTTTCATTTTTTCATTATATATAGTAATATAGATAAATTATTACACATATTTATTAAAATTACTCTAAAATTACATTTTTAAATATTACTATAAAATAAAATAACATAATATTTAAAAATATTAAAGTAGGAGCCAGCCGGCAGCGGGAGCAAGGTCCAAGCTGCCGGCGGTTAGGGCTCCAGCGACAGGAACCTCCTCACAATACGTGCCGTTTCAAGGAGGAATGCCTTCTGTATGAGGCCCTTGATCCATCCACCTAACGTCAGCCTCTTAAGGTGGTTGTCGAACTTGTCGAGGCTTTTGGGGACTAACCCGTTTGCCGACACAACTATCGGCACAACGATAGCCGAGTCCACACTCCACATGTCAACAACCTCGTGAGCCAAGTCAAGATATTTCAATTGTTTTAGATAAATTAATTATTATGATATTATTATTATATTTTAATTTATACTTGCCTTCCTCTGTAGAGAGATAAGTTTACCAAAAATTAAAACAGATAATTAAATAAACTCAATAGAACAGTATGCTATATGTCTTATATTTATAATCGGGTAGTTTCCTAGGTCAAAAATAAATTAATTCGACGTTTCAATACAATAAAATAATGAAGAATAACTATACTTTTATTCATAGATCGATCGATACACTAAGTTTTAGATATTTTGTAGCTGATTATTAAGAAATAAGTAAGTTATTTGATGTATAAATACTATGACGTCATAGCTCAGTTTTTCATACAAATTTAATAGAAAAGTATCGTTTTTGACATTTGGATAAAAGTATTGAATTTGACTAGTTGGAAACTACCGAATTTTGCCCAGGCGTTTGGAAGTTACAATGAAATAACAAAAACATAACACTACTTTTTTTGGCCAGTCGAATAATAAATAAAAAACTCACCGTAGTCCTCTGAAACATTGAAAGAGTAAATCAATTAAAAGATACAATTAGTACCCATATTATCTTTCTAATATTGCTTATATTATAAATGCGAAAGTTCCGATGTTGGAATGTTTGTTACTCAATCACGTCAAAACGGCTGGACGGATCTGCATGAAATTTTGGCACAGGCATAGGATACACTCCGGAATAGAACATAGGCTACTTTTTAACATACCACGTGGGCGAAGCTGCGGTCTAGCTAGCTAAGCTAGTAACATCTAATTTAATGACTGAAGAACTGCATTTTTGCCAAAAGCAAGCCAACAGACTGAAATCGACTGGAGTGATACCACGGCCTAACAGGCAAATTGCCTCAACTACGCTTTTAAGATGAGTCCAGGTTCCCTCACGATGTTTTCCTTCACCGTATGTCAGTGGTGTCTGAATAATCATAGAAAGTACATAAACCTGGAAGACGTTATATTGGTTCTGGTGTGGTTCGAATCCCCCTAATGCATGAGAAGCGGACGCCTTAAGTTTTATCCTGATGTGGTCCACTGTTGGACATAGGCCTCCCCAATTGCACGCCACTGAGCTCGATGTTCAGCTCTTCTCATCCAACCACTGCCAGCCACCCTACGGATGTCGTCAGTCCACCTAGCTGGAGGGCGCCCTACACTACGTATGCTTAGACCTGGTCTCCTAAAGAACACGTCTACCTCAAGGGTCATCGGTTCTTCGACAAATATATGACCTGCCTCTGGACTTTATCCATGGAAATTTATGAAATACTTACGAAAAATTTCAGTGGTTGGTGTGGCCTGGTCAGGTCCTGGGAGACTGAAGATGTACCCGATTTGGCATGGGTTCCAGTGGTCACACACTTCCCGATCAGGGTCTAACTCAGTCACAAATTTGTACGTCTGTGAATATAAACATTACATTTTTAATGTCGAACGCTCAGACGGATAACCTGATGGTCAGCAATCAGCGCCGGCTGTAAGGAAGCCTGACTCTCTTACACTTAAATGTTATATGTCAGAGTAACATTTTCAGGGTGGGTGTGGAAGACCCAAGTTCCGCTCGAATGGGTCGGCTCGACCGGAGTGATACCACGGCCTCATAGAAAACCGGCGTGAAATAACCACAGCGTTGTGTTTCGCCGTATGAGTGAGTTTACCAAAGGCTCAATTCTTCCCCTACCCCAATCCCACCCCATTCCCAAAATTTCCAAATCCCTAAACCCCAAAAGGTCGGCAATGCACTCGTAACTCCTGCGTGGTTGCGTTGCGAGTGTGATTGTGTGAGTGATGTGTGGGCGACGCTGATTGCTTACCATCAGGTAATCCGTCCGCTCGTTCAGACAAAAAAAAACTTTTTATAAATTAACTCTTACTCGATCTGGATAATAGCGGTAATGCACAACAACATCATCTGTATCCTCCAAAGCACATTTTCGACTGGTGAAATTCAGAGGAGTTCTCTCGGAGGGCGAACAACCTAGTACCGACGTCCCATTTCGCGGTAGATCGGGACCCTCGATTTTGTGACCTGAAAATTATCAAATTCAACATCATAATCATCAGCCTATAAGTGCCCACTGCTAAGCAAACGCCTCTCTCTCTTCTCACACGGAGAAGGTTTGAGCATTAATCACAACGCTTGCTCAAGACGGATTGACGATTTCTAACTTATAATTATAAATTATAAGACCAAGTTTTCTTCACGATGTTTTCCTTCAACGTATGGCAGTGGTGTCTAAATGATCATAGACAGTACACATAACTGAACGAACGAAGAAAATTCAAAATTTTAAAAGAATAGGTAGAAAATCAAAAGCTAAGCTATTTATCTGGTGGGGAAACGGAGTTCGTCAGGTTTGCTAGTAGGCTATACATAGCCCTGGGATTAGGGGCTACAATGTTCCTGAGTGCTATAGGCTATAAAACATCACGCTACAACCAATAGAAGCCGCAGTAGGGGACAAAACCGCACAATATTAGCTAGTATTAAGTAGTATAAATTCAAATTTCACTACACTACAAGTGTGGGAGAGCCATGCTTCGGCACGAATGGGTCGGTTCGCCCGGAGTCATACCACGGCCTCACAGAAAACCGGCGTAAATCAACCACAGCGTTGTGTTTCGCCGTGCCAGAGACCCAATCCTTCCCCTCCCAATCCCTAAATCTCCCAAATCCCAAACCCGCAAAAAGGTCGGCAATGCACTCGTAACTCCTCTGTTGTTGCGAGTGTCCATGGGCGGCGCTAATTGCTTACCATCAGGTAATCCGTCCGCTTCGTTTGCCAACCTATCACATTAAAAAAAGATTCTTTGAATAAATTTAGTTTGGTAATACACTTACGGTTGCAAAAGAAGTACTTATTGTTAGCAACAAAGAGTTCTTTATCCTCTGAACCGAGGCAAGCATCGAACATGATTGGTGATGGTTCAATGTTTTCTTCACACATGATCACGCCGGAGCCATCAGGCTCTTTTGGAGCTCGGTTCGTCGGACACCGATACATGAGACCTGAAAAAGCATATATTTATTTCATCCAATTCTTACGACAAAATATTATTATTAATTAAATAATAACGACTAATTAATAAATATTTGCAAATAGACGATAAAAAGACACCTTTACACGCCAAAAAAAAAAGAAAAAAGAACTAGACGAATCCGGTATTTCTTGTCTGAATCGTCAAAAATCTAATTAAATAAACTCAATAGAACAATATGCTATATGTCTAAAATTTATAATTGGGTAGTTTCCTACGTCAAAAATAAATTAATTCGACGTTTCAATATAATCAAATATCGAAAATAACTATACTTTTATTCGTCGATCGATCGATACACAAACTTATAAATTTTTTTAGCTAATTATTAAGAAATAAGTAAGCTATTTGACGCAAAAATGTTATGACATCATTCAACTCAGTTTTTATACAAATTTCATAGAAGTATTGAATTTGACTAGTTGGAAACTACCGTATTGTTATTCGCTATGTGCGAAGTGGGTGGTGGGGAACGGCAAATCGATCGTAGCGCACGACGTGGCAGAAATGTGAATTAATTCTGGACTGTCATGTGTCAAGTTGCTTTATTTTCATAACTTCTTTTATAATTTTAAGTAAAAACGTAAAAATTTGCGATATGGGTCATAGTACATGCTGTGTCGTAATCGTAAATTATAAAAACAATGGGAAAAACAGTTAGTGCAAGTTTTATTCGATTCTAACATCAGAGTGGACATTATCCATATTTTTCACGAGGGAGAAAATCGCTAGATATAATATACACACTCACATTTTATACTATTTTTTTCAATTTCGTTGAAAAACTAGTCGAAAATCATTCTTATCATCTATTTGACATGATTTGACAGATGACAAGTCCTGAATAGTTGCGGCCACTAGGGGCGCTGTCATCGCGCACACAACGACACACAACGATATACTGTCTAAACTGTTCCTACATTACCTAGTGGTGGAAAATAAATGCATTTTTTTTATACAATCGAAGGGCATCGGCTACTAAGTAAAAGAAAAGGTACCCTTTCTAATAATCGCAGGTGGTTTGTTGCGGATCTCAGCGACGGTGACCCCTTTCTCCCCACTCTGAATGGCCGTCATGACGCGTCTGTACAATGTAGTACGCCGTTCCTGTTCAGCCATGATATAAGGCAGCAACTCCTCAGACAGCACATCCACTTTCTTCTTAGCTTCAGCATTCATCTGTAAGTGAAGTTTTTTTGTGATAGTACGGCAAAAGAGCAGACGGATTACCTGATGGTAAGCCAACGGCGTCGCGCGTGGACAATTGCAATGACAGAGGCGCAATTACGAGTGCGTTGCCCACTATTCGGAGATTAAGGTTTCGGAGATTTCGGTACTGGGAAGGGATGGGGAAAAAAAAGATTGGGCCTCCGGTAGCCTCACTCACACGGCGAAGCGGCGTATTCTAGCAGCCGTGTTATCTCTCCGATCGATCGACCGGAGAGATTCCAAAGTCTTACATAAGACAGATGTAAAACAACTACTGCAGGGTTGTGTTTCGCCGTGTGAGTGATGTTACCGGAGGCGCAATTATTCCCCTATTCAATCCCTCTTCAAGCTCCAAATTAATTAAATTCTGTGTCCCACGCCGGTTTTCTACGGTGCCGTGGTATCACTCCGGTTGAGCTGACCTGAAGCCGAAGCATATCAAGTGTGAGAGAGCCATGCTTCGAATGCGTCGGTTCGACCGGACTAATACCACGGCTTCACGGAAAACCGGCGTCAAACAACAGCGTTGTGTTTCGCCGAGTGAGTGAGCTTACCGGAGGGCCAATACTTCACCTCGCTCAATCCCTTTTTCCCAAATAGTCGGTAACATAAACGTAAATCTTCTGTCGTTGTGGATGTTCTTGGGTGGCGCCGTTTGCTTACCATCAGGTAATCCGTCTGTTCGTTTACCAACCTATCCGTATCGGAAGGGACAGTACTGTTCTGTTACGGGATTGTTATTATTATACAGAAGATAATAACGATAAAAGAGAAAACCTCAAAACTATTTTTACACATCCCGAGGGTAAAATTCAGATCTTCAAAGTACCTTTTTTAAATGAAATGAATGAGCCAGAACTAAAAAAATCGCAAAAGGTCCTGTGCACCAGGATCTACAGTAGATACAACCATGAAAACACCGGAACACTGAAGTCCGGCGCGTCCCAGGGACATGAATGACTGTCTTCGATCCCGCAACGAAATAAATCAGAAGATATCAATATTGGACAAGAATATTAGAAGAATATTAGGTCGCCACCAAAGAGGTTGTTTATGAAAAAAGAAGTATTTTAAAAAAGCTTACCCGGTCAGCGTCCTTATTGAATTTTATGCCAGTACCATCCTGAAATTTTAGGTAAAAAAAATTGTAAACACTACAAGTATTAGCGATATTTGTTAAGAGTCAAGAACCTATCTAAGATACATGTGTGCGTTTACAAACATACAATGTTACATACACATCACACACAGACCCACGGAACAACAATTTGTGGATCACACAAAGAGTTGTACCGTGCGGGAATTGAAAACGCGACACGTTGCGCGGCAGCCAAAAACTTGGACAGTTCATGTAAGTGACACTTGTTTTTGGACACCAAATAAATGCATCGTCGAAGATGTTTCAATTTCGTACGAAAAAGAAAAAATACTAGTCTGTGTGTAATATATTAACAAATTTAAAATTTAGAAAAACCCCCGACGGAAAATCTAATATTCCTTTCAAAAGTAATAATTAAAAGAAATCGTGACGTTGGGGACCGATCCATACATTTTATTATCAACTACATATTTCTATTTTGTCGGAGGTCTTATTATTTTTTTATTTTATACTTTTTACTTTTCAGTGCGCTTTCATTAGAAACCCCACTCGAGTATATTTTCAGACCTTCGGTTACCCTTCCCCACTTACCCCCCCATAACTTCTAAACGGCTCAACCGATTTTCGTCAAACATGTCTAAGAACACTCGCACGTAAGTCACCTTTAATACAAAAAAAAACTAAATTGAAATCGCTTCACCCGTTCAGGCTCCAGGATGCCACAGACAGACAGACAGACACGTCAAACTTATATCACTCCTCTTTTTGCGTCGGGGGTTAAAAAGAGAATGATTTTCAAAAATACTCTCTCACAAAATACCTAATCCATTCTTCTACTTACAACAGCCTGCCTTCTAACGATGTTTGCCAAGTACCGCCCCCTTCTGGAAGCAGGGAGAAGCACGCTTCCCGCCTGCACTTCATCGCCGATCTGTATAATAAAATTTCACATTATATAACATTTGAGGATTATGTGTTGGAGAGCCATGCATCGGCACGAATTGGTCGTCTCGACCGGCTCTCGGCTCGACCGGATCTATACCATGGTCTCACAGAAAACTAGCGTCATGCAACCACAGCGTTGTGTTTCGCCGTGTGAGTGTACCGGTGGCCCAATTCTTCCCCTCTCTCAATCCCTCCCCAATCCCTTATCCCCAAAAAGTCGGCAACACACTCGTAACTGATTTGTCCATGGTGTCCATGGGCGGCGCTGATTGCTTACCATCAGGTAATCCGTCAGCTCGTTTGCCGAACTATTAAATAAAAAAAGTAAAGGTTTTGGAATTAGGGTATACACGCCTAAGTTCGATGACCTACACAACAAAACACGATACAAGTCGTGTTTCACGCGAGGACATGGTGAAGCATACGGTGGCGGTGTGCCGTGCTTAGGCTGAGCACCGCCGTGTCCTCAGGAAAGTAGTCAGCGGCGACCTCTCACGCCCGGCCTTAGTCGAGGCCATGGTCCGTAGCGAGAGGAACTGGGAAGCCGTCTCCTATTTCTGCAAAGCAGTGATGATCGCAAAGGAGGAGGTGGAGCGCGTGAGGGAACTATGTTGCCCCACATTAGGATTTTCTTCTGTGTCGTGGGTGCGGTTACAAACATACAATTTCACATACACATGACACCCAGACCCGGAACAACAATTTGTGGATCACACAAAGAGTTGTTCCGTGCGGGAATCGAACCCGCGACACGTTGCACGGCAGCCAGTTGCCCGGCCACCGCACCAACCGTGCAGGCGATTAAGGGAAGCTTGCCGCCCGACCAGAACCAGATCCGAGCGTATGGCGCGTAGCGTTCCGCGCACGCCTCAAAGAGCCAATAGACCACCACAGACGGGGCCCTATAGGGCTGATGTTCAGCCGGGGATGCGGGGTAAGCGCAATGAGTCACCGCGACCTCGGCCCAAAGCAGGAGTAGGAATGGGGGGAGTCTGACACTCTCTCTCGCGCCTTACCCTGGGCGGGAGAAATCATTTGATGATTTTCCCCTGACAAAAAAACTTTCATATTTATAATATAAGTATTATAATACTTACTGGTGGATATCCGCATAGACCAAAATGTAGAAATTGTAAAATTAAAAATAATACACATATCCGCAACATGGTTCCGCCAAAAAATGGCCAAAAACTAATCGTTTTGTTTTATTCGATAAGCTTTTATACTGCCAATTAACTAATTGATCAATTTTATCGCGATTTTTTTCTCACCTATTAATTGGACGGTGTACTTTGGATAGGAGAAAATTGCTCAGTTACTTTTTGTATTTTTATACATAGTATAATTGGTTAAATCGACGTGGCTTACTATGAGTAGGCCTTTCTATAACTGTAGACGTCTTCCGGACTCCTTCTTTCGACTTTTTCATTTAATTAGCGACCCGTCCTGCCTTCGGACGGATGCAATGCTGATACTAAATTTCTCAACTATTTAATGGATGTTATTGATTAAGTAATTTGAGATAACCCTAGCTGAAACCTTGAGTAATCGATACAAGTCCTTGATGTTTTTGATATCTACTGGTATAGTAAGTTTACCATTTAGCTGACTAGAGATGATGCTCAGCTGATACGATAGCTGTTCGGGAGATAGTAAATGGCTGTCGATACGTCCATGAGAAATATCCGTTACAGTCCCAATCAAAGTCTGCTGGATCCATCGAAGGTTTGATAGAATGATTGATGCAGCTAAAATGTAGAAGATTCCTACACCTTTGATGATACGATATGATGAGGGGTTAATCCTATAAGGATATAGAAATAATACCACCCGATTTGAATGCTAGATTAACATTGATTTATAATTCGTTATAAAAGACACAAATTACATTTTGCATTGTTTGCAATATACACAAAACCTGAGTGTGCAGAACGCACGGGCGTGAGTAGTTAAAATAATGTACGGTTCCGTACATCCTGCCCACTCAAAAGAGATAGATAAGACACGATTGAGATGAAAAAGATTGAAAGGACAAAGAAGATAGATAATGTGATCAAAATTAAATTGTATAAAAGGATGATGGATGATAACAAGGTGATGAATCAAAGATAGTCTTAGGTGCTATAATGTAATGTAAAATAAAATATACACTAAAACGTAGGACCTAACCAATTTAGTCACGGAGCGCACTGATCACATAGATTCTGGCGAAGTAGCCTTATCTACACCACTGACCGTGAACACTTCACTGCACTTAAGCACTGATCGCGCTTGATGTGACGCCACTGGCGCCGGATCCACCGGCGCGACTGTCGCCGGCCCCGCCCCAGCAGCCTCCTGGCCCTGGGGGGCCGGCGACGCTGCTGCCCTAGCCGCAGCTCGACGACTCCTGATGAGGTACACGACGACGCCACCCAGTATGATCACCGCGGCTACACTGATGTATAGCACAGTGTAATGGTGAACATCATGAATGCTCAGATCTGTTGATGACTGTTCCTTAACCTCGTCAATCTGAGCCCTTAACTGATCCCAAATAACCTGATGATCCTCGACCATACTAATATTGTCGGGTATTGATGTTTTCATAATTCGATTAAGCATAGACACCTCTGGGACTTCGATATGATGATGAATATTCAAATTACTGACCACCGCTTCCAAAGCTGTTTATTCATAGATTGAACGAGTTGCCATCGCGTCGAGAGATTGATGTGATCTGGATCTGTCTGTGGCCTGGATAGAATTGGGCCACCAACTAAAAAGTGTCCTGGCGAAAGAAAGTCATCGTCAGGGCTTTCAGTCAGTTGACAAAGTGGTCTAGAGTTGAGACACGCCTCTATTTGGTAAAGTAGAGTAGTAAACTCCTCGTACGTGAGTTTTTGATCTCCAATGATCCGCTTTAAATGATATTTAAGGCTTTTGACTGCTGCCTCCCAAAGACCACCTGCGCTTGGCCACGCTGGAGCATTGAAATGCCAGCTTACGTTCATGTGACTGATGTTATCAAATAGATCGGTGTTGATATTGGCTAAGATTTCTTGATACTCCTTCTTAATGATACGATTGGCGCCTACGAAATTTCTTCCATTGTCACTATACATATGACTAGGTGCACCACGACGAGCTGAAAATCTTCGGAAGGCTGCTAAGAATGCTGGAGTACTCAGATCGGAAACAAGTTCCAGATGAACAGCTTTGGTGGACAAGCAAACGAATACTGCTATATACCCCTTAACCGTTTTGATTCCACGTCCCTTATTGGCTTTTAACTCTACGTGTCCCGTAAAATCGACACCGGTGTGGGTAAATGGACGTGACGGGGTGACTCGAGGCTGTGGGAGATCAGCCATGATTTGATTATACTTTGATTGATTGAAGCGCTGACACTTAACGCAGGATCTCAACCTTCTCTTGACAGTACGAATTCCGCTTATGATCCAATATTTATCTCTGATATATGCAAGTGTCAGACGCGGGCCCCCATGCAATGTTGTCATGTGAGCCTGATGGATGATTAAGTCGGTGAGACGACTGTGGCTAGATAATATGATAGGGTGCTTTGATGAGTCCTTGATACATGCGTTTTTGAGTCGTCCTCCCACTCTAAGGATACTGTCCTCATCCAGAAAAGGATTGAGACATGATATTTTACTTTTAGGGTGCACGTATCCCTTTTGATTGATAAACTGAATGTCTTCATGAAATTCGTATAATTGATAATTCTGTATGATTAAATGTAATGCATTGTGCAACTCTGCTGACGTCAAAAATTCCGTCCCACCTGTGTGTTTACCTCGCGATCGTTTAATGAAACGTGATATCCAAGCGACTATTTTTACAATACGAGTTAATGAACTGTAATTGCACAATAGCTCTTGTATAACTGAAATGTTATTTTTATATAAGGCGGTGTTCACACAGTGTTTTTTGATCTCAATATTCGGCGATTGATAAGAAGTGACAGGTAATGTATTACGATCGAAATGAATTATCCATTTTGGACCCTGCCACCATAATGGATGGTTAAGTAGCTTCTGTGACGTGAGACCCCGAGTGGCACAATCTGCCGCGTTATCCTCTGACCGTACGTGATGCCAACATGATGATGGAACGATATTGGTGATTGTGATAATTCTATTAGCCACGAATTGTTTCCACCTATGGACGTCTCCTTGGATCCATCCTAGGACTATCATGGAGTCAGTCCAGGCATAAATTTCCACGTTTTCATTTGATAATGACTCCATAACCTTCTTGATAAGTTGAGCAAGAAGTAACGCACCACAGAGTTCGAGCCTTGGCAGTGACACCTTTTTAGCCAGAGGCGCTAATTTTGTTTTTGCGACAGCGAGTCTCGATATGCACTCGCCCTTATGATCTTTACTTACGACATATACTGCACAAGCATATGCCTTATCGGAAGCGTCACAAAATGCATGTATTTGATACAATTGGTTTGTATTACCAATGTATCGCGGTATAATGAATTGGTCAATGAGATTGAGATCACTCCTGAGATGAATCCAATCATCTTGAATTGATTGTGGAACATTTTCATCCCAAGATAATTTTAATGACCATGCGTTTTGGAATAGAAGTTTCGCTCTTATTGATAGTGGAGACAGCCAACCCAATGGGTCAAAAAGTTTCGATATTTCAGATAGCAACTGCCTCTTCGTGACGCATTGATTACGACACTGGACCGGATTTTGGAAGCTAAAGGTATCCGTTGATGGATTCCACCTGAGTCCAAGCGTTTTCTTCGATTCTGAGCACTTAAAGTCGAATGGGCTATTGAGCTGATCTGAGGAAAGATCTTTAAGTAGCTCCGGGTCATTACTGGACAACTTGCGCAGATTCATGCCAGCACCCTTCAACATCTCAATGAGTTGATGTTGTAGCTCCCTGGCTTGATTGATGGTATTTGTGCCTCCAAGAAGGTCATCCATATAAAAAGATTGGCGTAATGTTGACGCTGCTAATGGGTATCTATCGGCATCGTCGATTGATAACTGTTTAAGAGTCCTCATAGCTAAATAAGGAGCGGCTTTAGTGCCGTAAGTCACTGTAGTTAAACGATATTCTCCTAGTAACTCTTGAGGTGATTGTCTCCAAACGATTGATTGAAGATGATGATCTGATTGTCTGATGAAGAGCTGTCGAAACATTTTCTCGATATCAGCTGTCATAACGTACTTGTAAGTGCGCCAGTTCAAAATAAGTGTCATGAGATCTTTTTGGAGATTTGGTCCACAGCACATGAGGTCATTCAGACTTTTACTGGAAGATGATTTTGAAGAAGCATTGAAAACGACTCGAAGTTTAGTCGTTGTGGAATCTAATTTGATGACGCCATGATGAGGTAAATAGAAGGCTGGTTTTGATTCGTCGACATTATCGGCCTTACACATGTGACCCAGTTGTTGATATTCGGACATAAATGATTTATAACTTTCCGAGAATAATAAATTATTGCACATTTTTCTTTCCAACTGTTTGAATTGTGCAATCGCTTTTGATTTAGACGATCCAAGTTGATTTTCGTATTCGGGTTTCATGGGAATGCCAACTTCGTATCTGCCAGTATCTAAGCGACGAGTAGTTTGTTGATAAAACTCTTCACAATACTGCTCTTCACTAGTCAATGATGATGATGATGATGGTTCAACGTCTTCAATCTCCCAGTATTTTGAAAGATCCGATATATTGTTTGTCACGATATGACAATTAAAAGTACGAACGTTTCCCGATAAAATCCATCCGAGGGCAGTCTGCTGCGCAATTGGAGCTTGAGATGGACCTTTGATAAGACCGTCCATGATGATCTGTGAATAAATGCTGACATCCAAGAGAAGATCGATAGGCTTGGAAACATTGTACTCTGGATCAGCTAATTGCAGATGCTGGAGATGAGGCCATGATTGTTTTTTGAACTGAACGCTAGGCAAGTTACTGGCAACCCGAGAGAGTACGAGTGCTTCTGTAGTGAAATTATAATCGCCGTAGATAGATTGACAGTCGATAGATACTAAACCCTTACTTTGACTAGCACCTGAACCTATACCGGACACGGACGCATTGTAACGTCGCCTCTGTAAGCCTAGTCGTTGCACAGCGTTCTCCGATATAAGTGATATTTGAGACCCCTGGTCCAGGAGAGCCCTTAGGGTTATATAGGTACCGTCAGAACACCTTACATTGATCGATAACGTGGTTAATAGTAATTCTTCATCGTCTACTGCGACATGATTGGCATTAGGCTGTTTGTTGGGTGTTTTTGCGGACGGACCCGATGTAGACGATGATGATGAGGATTGATGTTTTGATGATTGCATACACGCTTCATGGAGTATGGTATGATGATTGCCTTGGCAAGACTTGCAACGTTTGGTGGAAGTACATTCATTTCCGTCGTGAGAGAATAGGCAATTTTTACAAATATTTGATTGTGTAACTATTCTCATTTGTAAATCCGGAGTCATGTTAATAAATTTTTTGCATGAAAACAAATTGCGATTATGATTTAGGTTGCAAACTGCGCATTTCGAGATATGAATAGCTTGAGCTTGATAATTTCGATGATTAAAGCCTTTATAATTATTATATTTGTAATAATTATTTTGCACTTTTGGATTTGGGGTTCGTTTGATAGATGTAGCGGGTTCCTTATCATATTTGGTTATCTGTTCCAACGCAGTAAATTTACCTTCAAGGAATGTCATTAACTCGTCTAACTTAGGTAATTTTCGCGGTTCGACGCGTGCTTCTCTGTAATCAGTCTGGGTATCCGTATCCAGTTTTTTACATAGAAGGTGCACCAATAAAGGATCCCACGCATTAGTATTGACGCCAAGATTGTGAATAGCATGAATGCACTCCGTAGTAGTGTCATATAACCTTTTGATTTCGGATGATGATTGTTTTTGAATGTTGGGCTGATTGAGAAATATTTCGATTTGATGAGTGAAAAGAGCTTGCTCGTTGTTGTATCGATGGACTAAAATCTCCCATGCGGTATCGTAGTTTTCCGATGAGACATTTAAATGATAGATGAGTCGTTCAGCTTCGCCCTTGAGCTTACCCTTAAGATGTTGCATCTTTTGGGCCTTGGTGATGGAATTATTGTTATGAATTGTCTCGCTAAACAAATCATAAAAGGTTGGCCATTGACTATAATTTCCGCTGAACGTAGGTATCTCAAGTTTCGGAGTGACCTTTTCTAAATGAGTCGTAGAGGAGATTTTCCTATTTAGCTCGCGTTTGATATTTTTGTAAGCTAACTCATGACGAGTGAATTCCTCGTCATACGATATATCTCCACCCGCAAGTATATGATCGATTTTCAAATGCTGAGCGTCGATAATTTTCCAAATAGACTGAACGCCGTTTAGCTCGTCTTCGAGTTCCCATTTATCCGATATATTTTCAACCTTGATGCTCTTAATAAGTCGACTAAGTGCCCTGAAATTAGTCCGCTGCATTGCTAACAATTCATCAACCTCCCCATCTGGTTGAGTTGATTTTGATGATTTTCCGTAAGATGATAAGAGGATGCG